AGCAATCATTGGGCTCATCAATGAAAGTAAAACAATTCCAAAAGCCAATACAGTGGTACCTCGGGTTAAGAACTTAATTCATTCTGGAGGTCCGTTCTTAACCTGAAACTGTTCTTAACCTGAGATACCACTTTAACTAATGGGGTCTCCTGCCGCCGCTGCCGTGCGATTTCTATTCTCATCCTGAAGCAAAGTTCTTAACCCGAGGTACTATTTCTGGGTTAGCAGAGTCTGTAACCTGAAGTGACTGTAACCCAAGGTACCACTGTACAGAACTCCAGTCAACATAGATAGGGAAAATTAGCCAGGGACTGGTACAGAGCCACGAATATTGTTATTCCTGGATTCCTGGATTCAAGCCTACTGAATATTCTAGCCAGTCTGAAGTGGGGCAGGGGTCAGCAACACTGTCTTGAGGGCCCAAAAGGACCAGATTCTAGTGTGACAAATGGAATTCCCTTTACTCTGGTCATTTTGTAAAATGTTGGCGATCAAATGGTGTTTAAGCGCGCAGCCAAAGGGAGTGGAACAGCACACCTTTTTATGTACATAGAATCATAGAATTCTAGAGCTGGAAGGGACTCTGAGGGCTATCAAGTCCAACCTCCTGCAATGCAGGAATTCTGCTCACAGTCATCCCTGAGTGGGCTAGAACCACCAATTTTCTGGTTAATGATCAGATGAACTGACCCATTGCAGTGCGTGTCGTGATAAGCACACCATGTGCTATTAGAAGTATAAAGAATTCTACAAGTAGGGAGACCGACTTCAAGTTTTTAACCTGAAGAAGGAAAAACGCAGAAGGGCATATCCAGTTTGCCATAGGACCTTCCTGTATTTTTGGTTCTCCCAATGATCAGAAAGCAGTTCTCTCTGATTTCAGAAAGCAGCACTCATCTCTCGCCACTCGCAGCCATGATGACCATCTCAGTTCATATATAAGGCAAGATTTCTCAGCTCTGCAAATCCTCTATGTGCACAGGCAACAGGTGAATGGGCATTGCCAAGACCCAAATACTGTGCCATGCTATCTATAGATATCTTTCAGACTGCTATTCAGAAATGTACTTTAGCCAACTGGGTATTATTACTTATACTGCCATTTCATTCCTCTGTATACACACCTCTAGATCTGGTGTCTTTGCATTTGATTTTCAAAACTAAAAGGGTATTTTTAAAAAACAAACAAATAATCCATATATAATAAGACCCTGCCTGGCAGGCAGGCAGGTTTCAGGTGGCTCATCATTCATATCATGATGCTAATTACAGTGATTAAAAAGATGTAAGACTACAACTGCTACTGTTCTCTATCGCTGCCTTTAAAACAAATGTAAGGGACAATTAACAACAGATTAGCAACTCGCCTTGGTTTGCCACGTGAGGATGATCACTGACCTTCTCATTTCATCCTCATTAGTGTCTCAGGTCAGCAGAACCATTGCTCCTTAATCATCACCCACCATTCCTTGCTTCAACACACGGAAACAAATGATGTGTTGCCAGGGAGGTCAGAGGTCAAATATGAGTTTTGTTGTTGCTGGAGCACAGGCGAAAGGCAACGGGGTCAACTTTGGGGCAACTCTTTGCAGCAGCCTCCATTTGAGCACAGAAAGTATAAATGCACGAAGCATGACACCTACTGTGTTTTTGTTTTCTCTTTGCAGCTGGAATTTACTCCTGAGGGTTTCTCTCCCCCCCCCTTAAATTATTCTTCTCCCTGCTCCACAATGTACAAATTCACATGGGAAACAGTGAGTTCCCCCCTTTTCTTTTTCCATAATGCAGAGCATGAGATTCAGTGGATACAGTGATGGTTTTTGTTTTGTTTTGAACCCCCCCTTTACTTTTCAACACGGTGTGTCACTCATAAAGTTATGAACGCTGGAAGCTGTTCCCGGCACGTCCCTTCATGCTGCTGCCTCCAGTCTGGTGCTACTTTCCAATTTGCCATGGAGAGCCTCTGAAGACTGCCGGGCTGAAGGCACCCAGTGCCAGTGTAAATGAGCCCCATTCATTTCTCGCCATTGGCATATGGCATGTCATTGTCCTCGGCCACCGAGGCAGAAGTGATGCAATTTGTTGGCATGTCCTGTCACAGCACAAACTATCTATCCCACTGTGCCCTACGAAGACAACAGAAGCCAGAAAAGGGCAGCCAAAACTTCACAGCTTTATCACAAGAACACACATGCACACAACACCCTGGGGGAAGAGAGAGAGAGAGAGAGAGAGAGAGAGAGAGAGAGAGATGGCTCTCTCTGTTTTAACCTATAGGCAGTGGAAGTTTTTAACGCCTTGTTTTCTCCTTCAGGCTATTCTAGAAGTTAATCTTTATGCGACAGTGAACAGGGAGACCGTCGTAAGGTTATTAATTCCCTCACACATCTAGTGAAAATGTCCACATGTTATGGGGTTAACACTAACACGCCTTCGCAACGACTATCAGGCAATTGTTCACTCTTGCTGCTCTGTCTCTGAATTTTCAGGCATTTGCCGGATCTCGAAGGGATTGATAAGCTTCCATTGTGGTTGGCATCTCAAAGGCATGCGCCCTCATTCCCTCTGAATGGCAGACTGTCAAATGTACATAGATGTGAGGCCTAGCAAGCAGCCACAGCCACACAATAAAAGAAGGTGCAGCAAAAGTGGGTCATTCAATTTGGTGGCATGTGCCCTTGCTCCACTTCCAGAACACTGACAGAAAAGGGAGGGAGCATGCGGCCTGTGTGAGGTAAAAACTCCCCAAACATACTTCTACTGTGGCCCTTATTAGGGATGGGTGAATCTGTTAATTTCAGTTTCTCTCGGCTTCTCATTTTTCAAAGTTTAGTTTGCCACATTTACTCATTAGTCTGCAATTCTTTTTTTTTCTTTTTTTAAAAACTCGCCACAAATATTTTCCAGCACTGTAGTATACATTTATCCTAATAAAAACACTTTGCATGCATTTTATGCATACATCCTCTAATATATTTGCATTTTTGTCCTTTTTTTTTAAAATTGGAGAACTGCATTGCAAAATTTGGAATAGTGCGAATTTTCAGGAAGAGCTTTGTTTTAGTTTGCTTGTGGTTTTGGAATGGCAAATGAGGTCAGCTTGCATTAAAATGCAAACCCATTATGGGGGACAGAAGCAGTAGCCCACACAGTCTCTAATCTAGGCATAAATAGAGCAAGGACAGGGTTATCAAGCTGGGAAAATGTTGACATCTAGAGACAGATGTGAGTAGGTGATAATGCCTATATCTATGAAGTGCTGATTTCTGCACATCAAGGAGAAGCTTATTCCCGCCCACCCATCAGCTGGCAACTCCAAACAGGGACCACACCAAAGTCTTAATGAATACATGCTCAGAAATAGGTATGGGACAGGGAGTTAACAGCTGGCAATGCCTCTTAGAGAGGCCCAACACATAGTCTGAGCATAGGGTTGCCAACTGACTGGGGAGAAAGAGCCTGCCTAGCTTGCTCCAGTGCTTTTAACAGCAGTCTGATATGCAATAATTAACAAACGAAGCTTTATCATTGGGCTGATCCTACTATTTACCAATGTGAGTTGGTTGCTTCAGGCAGCTCCTTTTGGGTGTAAATGGTTAATTATTTAAAAGTTACGATGGTTAAATTTTTATTGACAGGAAGAGGTGCTTGTGAGGCATTTTGTCTCATTTTGGTTCATCTTCAGTGCTGTGCACCTTGACTTGGGGAGGGCTGCTATCTGCTATTCTGCCTCAAACAATCAAATGCCTTGGACCAACCCTCTTATTGGCTGGTCATTGCTGAAAATCAACTGGCTGATACAGGCACAACTGAAAGGGGCTGGTTAAGAAGTCAGCAAACCTGTGAAAACTGGATCTAGTTCTCTAATACAGTAATATTGTATGCCTGATTCCTATTAAAGTGAACTCCAGCTTCGACTACTAAGGATGGAACTACATTAGTTCCACAAGTCTTTCATTTATTATGATTTCCTCCAACCCACATATTGCAGCAGATGCTAAATATAATTAAACATAGAAAATGGGTAGAAGCTAGTGGAGATGGGCTTTCCTCTTTGTACAGTTGTTCCATAGAAAGATGCTGGGGGAAAGTTGCATACCTTCAAAAGTGAGGGAGGTAAATTTAAACAGAGAGAGCTTAATGGGGAAGGCTACAAAGCCTCCCTCCACCCACAGCTTACAAACCTAGGAAACAAGGCTGCAATCCTACAGATGCTAGAAATGTCTCTGGACCCTTTCTAATGTCAGATCTAAAATGCTTGGCACCCGTCTGTCTTGGGAGACAATAGTGGAATGCACCTATGAGGGTGAAGTCAAGCTGTTGGAAGGTTACGGCGGCTGCTGTGGCTGTAGAGACCAATATGGGAGAGACTTGTTTTGGAGATAAAATAAAATAAAGCCAAAATAAAGCTAAAATAAAGCCAAGAAAATGGTGGTGGTGGTGATACACTGCATCAAGATTTATTCACTTATAAAATACCTAAACTTTTTAAAAAACAGTGTACATATATTAAAAGATAAGACAGTCCCTTCCTGCAGGTCAAACAGCAGAAGACCTGACCCAAAAGGGAAAAAGGAAAGGGCTGGAAGAGGAAAGCAAACACTGGAGCACCTGTTAATGGATGGAGCCAGGTTGGTCTCCCACTAGTCGTGATGTTCATACTGGAATCCAGAGGGTAGAGTCATCTAGCCATTGCACTTTTAAAAAGTCAGATTTTTAAAAACCATAACAACCCTCCAATATAATACTATGGATTGGAACAAACACTTTCCCACCCTATTCTATTTTACAATTTCACTCATAGCAAAAACTTTGAAATAGTGGTATATGTTAGTGCAGAGAGAGTGCGAAGGCAATGAAGTCCTGGGCATTAATGGTCAGAATGCTTACTGGTTGGCCAGAAAGAAAAGAAACAGCAATGTTGTCATGTGTTCTGGTCTGTGGAAGGAAATGGCAAATCCAAACAGCAAAGCGATTGCAAAAAACCATGTTGGGCCACTAGTAAACCCAGCCCAGTATACTTCCTCTGGATTAATGGCCAGCTGGGGGTTTACAACCCACAGCTGCACCTCAGGACATCATCTTCTTCCCAGCTGGCCACTAATCCTCAGGAAATGCCCTTCTCCACAGACATTAGATCTTAATTATTGCCTACGATATGCTGCAAAATGGAGGCAAAGAAAAGAGCAAAAAAGGTGCTAAGTGAAAGTCGCCCCAAGCACAGGTAAAACCATTACAGCGCTCCAGTCTCGAGCATGAGCCATGTGCAAAGAGTGTGAGCATTCATGAGATTAGGACACATGACTAAATAAATGGAGCCTGGAGAAAGGGGCATTCGTGTTTTGATGGATTCTTAACCTTTTCTGGATTGATAGTAGTAAGAAAGGGACAAGAATGTGTCTCAGTTCTAGAACTACCTACAAATAAAAGCAAAGGCTCTGTGAGCAGCTAAAGGAAATTAGACCCACAGGAAAATAGTAGTATGAAGGATATGTTGATCTCCTGGTCATCAAAACATTTTTATCTGCCATCAAAATTTCTTGTTGAGAAGTAACTCCCACATTCGCTTTGAATACAATAGCAAACAGCCCTCCTAGTGGAAAGAGCAAGTGCACACTGGCCTTCATCGAAAAGGGATGCATATTTGGGTCATATTTTTGGTGGACTTGTAAGGTGCTTTCTAAAGAAGAAAATACAGATATAGTTATGTAGGTCTAATTTATGGAATCCTCCAGATGTAAGAACAGAAAAGGAGCCTTCAGACCAGAGTTGCTAATCCTTCACTCTGCTCCTCAACAGCAACCATCCATATGCCCATGAGAAGTTCACAAGGAGGCCATGAGGACAATAGCACCCTCCTGCTATTTCCCCCCAGTGACTGGCATTCAGAGGGATGGTGCCTCTGATCCTGGAGGTGGCATACAGCCATCATGACTAGCTGGCATTGATAGCCTTATCCTCCAGTTTGCCTAATTATCTTTTAAAGTCATCTACATTGATGACCACTACATATTGTGGCAGCAACATCCATGAATCAAGTATCCGTTTCATGAAGAAGGCAAATACCCATTGACAACACCGCCATATTGAATCCAATGATGGGACTGATGGTGTCCATTTTAAAGCGGGCCTTTGGCTCTCAGTTGAGTCTCTGTTGAATATGGCAGATCCACACCACCGAAAGCACATTCAGCACATGTTTAAATCACATAGCTTTCCCCATGGAATCCTGGGAACTGTAGTTTGTTAAGGGCACTGGGAATTGTAGCTCTGTGAGGGGGGAACAGCAGTTCTAGGGTTCTTTGGGAGAAGTCATATGCATTGGATATGCTTTAAATGTATGTTGAGGATCTGCTCTATATCTTGTTTTTCCCATATCTCAGCACTATGTACATTTCCTAGCCCCCAGCCCCATTTGTGTTCAACATATGCTACATGCATTTCTTGTTTAACATCCTGCTACGTCTGGGAAAAAAGAAATCTTTGGAAGTTTAGCAAGATCCTATAATACTGTAACTTCTTCTCATCAGAATTCAAGTTGTTCCTCATGTTAATCATTCCCCACTGAAAGCGCTTGATTAACAGGTTGATCATCCTCTCTTTGATCAGTGGATCTTGGAATTGAAAGGTTTTGGAAACCTGATCCATATTTGGGCCTGTAATTATAATTGCCCATAAATTTCTCATGAGACAAATCACTCTACCGAAAAAAGAGAATTGCGAGGAAGGCTGTTTTGTCTGTAACCTAATGTGTGTTTAAAAGCAAAGGAATTTCTACCCTTGTTTTAAAACGGTGGGTAATAAAATGAAGTATACCTTCAGAAAACTTAACTACTGGAAAGAAGCATCTTTTAATCACGTACACTTTAAGTCTTTTTCAAAGGAGAGACTTTGCCTTTGCTGATCTACTGACTCTGTACGGTATGAAAGCTATCTCGCTGTTTTTGCATATATTATCAATGCACAAACAAAGTAATAGTACATGCTCCAGGAAGCAATAGCACTAAAAATATTTGGGTGGCATAGTACAGAGCACAGTGCAGTATTCGCTACTTTGTAACCCACAAACCTTCAGTAATTGCCACTATGCAGAGAGAGAGAGAGAGAGAGAGAGAGAGAGAGAGCATGCCTGCCTTCCCTATCTCTCTGATAACACACACATCCCTGTGGCGGTGTAACAGTCTAGTATGCTCTTTGCCATAAAACCCAATGTTTGGGTTGGAATTGTATTATGAGCACACAGGCCATATGGAATGCTATCTCCTCATTGGGCATCTAGAGACACTGTAAATGGTGAAAAGGTGGAGAGAGAGAGGGAGGGAGAGAGGGAGAGAGAGAGCATTCTTACTACCCTCTGTGAGGATGGGCTGGGTCAAGGGGAGATGCCACCCAATTCACCCCACTATCTAATGGGATCACTCCAGGTAGAGAGAATATCGTGTTGTTAGCCCACAATGGTCTAGCTCCTGATAAAAGCCCTATTTGTCCAAATGGCATGCAACCTTGCTGAGATGTTGGCTATCTATTCTTGTGTAGGATGTTTACAGAGTGCCAAAACCCAGCCCTGGGTAATTAGATCGGAATGGAGCCTTCCTTGTTGTGCTGCTCAAAAAGGCTTGATAGATTAATGGAGGATGGAAGACAGTCCACCTGCCTCAAAGTGATTAAGCTGGGCTGAGCCGAATTGCCACCAGTGTGGCGATTGCTTGCATTAGGCTCAACGTTTCTGGGATTACATCTAATAAAAATGTGGCCCAACTTAATTCAAATAGATTCTCTGGTGCCTCTTTTCCCTTATAAAGAAAATAAAGCTCTTTATCCTATAGTCCATGTGTTCTTGGCAGAAAATGTGGTCATAACTGACATTCATGAGTTGGATTTACCTAAAATATGCATCTGAGGCAAGGGCAGTTCCAGATATTAATAGTTCAACATTAGGTTTAGGGTTTGTGTCTCAAATGTTGGAACACAGCAATGTAGTTCTGCCTTTTTTGTTTGTGACCAGATTGCCATTGGAAGTGAACAAAAAACAGAGAAAACTCACAGAGAGGGAAGTGTGAGATCACAATGGATATTATTTTATATCCATGATGCGCATATAAATGCGATTTTCGTTAAATATGTGTCAAAGTTCTCCAGAGATGTGCTTTGTGTTGAGTCTAGGATTCAATTGCCTGTTTATTTATTACATTGATATGCCATCTTTCCTTCAAGGAACTCTCTACATCGCTCTATCCTTCCGCATTTTATATCCACAACAACCCTGTGAGGTTAGATTGAGAGGTCCAATGTCACCCAGTGAGTTTCCTGTCTACATTGGGGATTTGAAACCTGGTCTCTCAGGTCCTAACATAAGACTGTAATCTGTCCCATTCACTTACGCAGGGATTACTTGTTCTATATACTATGCATTTATTTATCGCAATTTATATACCATTGAATTAAAAAATCTGAGCAGCTTACATAAACTAATGTAAAGGATCATAATAAAATACTGATAACATCAACGTCCATGCAGTAAGCCCCACCTTCTGAACTTTTTTTTTAAAAGAAACCAAATTATACAACTGAATCACTGAGAAATCCTTCCAAAGACCACTCCCTTACACCAGCAATTAAATGTCACCTCAAAAACTCTGATGTGCTCAGGTGGTTTCTCCACAAACCACAGAGCTTCCCCATTCATTACAAAAGAAGGACACCTCCACACACTCTTTCTTTCTACATGGGGATGAGGAACCTGTGGCCCTTGAGCTGATTTTGGGCAAGAACTCCCATCATACCTGACTACTGGCCAGGCTGGAGTAGAACAGTATCTGAAGGGTCACACAGGCCCCTCATCCCTACCTTAATAGTATAGAGCCACTCCATGATTCAAGGCAATGGAGAAAGTTGCTCATGTGGTGACAGAAGGAGCAGTGTTCACACAGGGCTCTGGGTTGGGCTGCATGTTTGGCACGCTGACAATAAATGTGACTGCACAATTAAAGGAGCAAGACAAAATCAAAAACATGACCCAAATGGAAAACAGACTCACCTGGATACATGTGACATTAGGCAAACCAGGTGGATGGAACAAAATGAGGGAGGTGATGACGGGGAAATGTATTTATTTATTCCATAAAAACTTTTATACTGCATGATTATAGAATCATAGAATTTTAGAGTTGGAATGGACCATGTTGGTTATCTAGGCCAACCCCCTACAATGCAGGAATATTTGCCCAAAGTGGGAATTGAACCCGCAACTCTGAGATTAAAAGGAAACCTCAATGCAACAGAGAAGGCTCTCCTCCAAGCTGCTACCCCTGGGATTCTGAGGGTGGTAGAAAAACCAAGATGGCACCCTCCACGAACCTTTGCACCCAAGAAGGTCTGTGGGGAAGGGAAGTCTCTCAGATATTGGGTGCCTGAATCATTTAGGGCTTTAAATGCTAATGTGAGCCCCTTGAATTGGGCCAGAAACAAACTGGCAACCAGTGCAGCTTTTAAAATGCATGAGTTATATGATAACTACAGTTCCCATGGGGAATCCCCCATGACTGCTAAAGTGTTATAATAGTGTTTTAAATGTTTAGTGTGGACATGATCAGTGTCCTGGGGATATTGCAACTTTTTGTTCTCCCAAACACTGAAACCCTATAATCCACAAAATATTTTAATTTTAGAACTCAGAAACTGAAATTACTTCCAGGTGTGCCTTTTGCAGATGCTGTAGGTGTGAAATCTCTTAAGTTCCCCATAAATAGATAACACCGAATGCTGTACAGTAAGGAGTAGGTAAAGCCCCAGGCTTTACTAACTGTATCATAGTAGTAGTCATTATTACACATTAGCTTTAAAAATGAGGAAAAGGAGTGAAAATGGCCATTGTTTATTATACAGCCTTGTTTAGGGTACTCTACAGACCTCTCCTTTTTTGCATCCATTCTAATTTGACTTTCTAGAAAGCCAGATAAAAATGAAACTTACTATTTGTTCAGAATAAATTTCTAAAGCTAGGAAGACAAGCAGTGAAAGAGACCCTCCACAAAATAAATCCTTCACTTTCTTTTCTTTTTTTTAAAAAAGAAGCTAATGAAAGCCAAAGTGACAAAAAGTCCCCCCCCATCACGTATGTTCCAGCGTA